CTATCTTCACAATATATCATATTATATTCGTCATTTACTGATTTTTTTAAAAATTCCCATGAGCTAGAAAAATGTAATAATTCTTCACATAAACTGCTTTTAATTTGTTCAACATCATTGTTACATTCAATAAATGGTTTAAGTTTCAAAGATAATGTAGATAATGCACCACTCGGCATTCCATTTTTGAATGATTCAAAATTGTTTGGCGATAATAGAGATAGATCAAAGTATAATGTATTATTTTTAATAAACCTTGAAGTCATACTTCGTATAATAGCATCAAATACTTTATTATAAACTTCAACTTCAAATTTTTTTGCAGCATTAATTATTGGTTCATCTTCCGTTTCATAAGTAGACATCCTTTTCTTTCTTTGAATACGTTTATTTTCAAACTGATCTTGAATATCACACATTTCTAAATCTTTCTTATTTTTTTCATCTTCAGTATTTTCAATTTCTAAATCAATAATTCGTTGAGCCTTTTCTATAAACTTATCACATGTTATTTTTATATTTTCCATATCTCGTTGGAGTTTTTCTATTTGTTTTAAAGTGCCTTCGACCATTTGTTGACATTTTAATAAATCTAAGCCACTTGTTTGCAAGTATCTTGATAAGGGACCTGTTATAGAAAATATTTTCATAAACATATGTGCAATGAGGATATTTTCATACTTCAATAATGATGACAATATACAGTTAGCTTTAGATCGAATATCGGGCTTAAAACCTTCATTATTAGATATTTTAGATTGACAAATAATCAACTCTGTATACAAAGCATCGTCAAATTTATCATAAGTACCAAAAATTCTGTTAAGGGCTGTTTGCTTTGCGGTCCATCTCGTTTCTCCGATGATTTGAAGACGTTTATTTCGAATATTATCGTGATGATTATTACTTATTGACTTCCAATTATTCATACGCTGGTATGATTCTTTAAAAAATACGGCACATGAATTAATGATAGAAAAGAACGTTGCTACTTTAACTGGGTTTTTTGTAGCGTCACATATTACCAGGTTTAAAACGTGGCTATAGCACCAAACATGAACTTGTTCGGGCGCTGTTTTGCTAAGCCAAGACGTAAAACCTTTATACATGCCTTGCATATTAGCTGCACCATCTGTAGCATTCCCAATACAACGAGTAATGTTTATGTCTA